GCCATCATTCAAAAGTCCACAAATGACAAATGCTGGAGAGGCTGTGGAGAAAAGGGAACTCTCCTACATTGCTGGTGGGAATGCAGTTTGGTGCAGACACTATGGAAAACAGTATGGAGATTCCTCAAAATACTCAGAATAGACTTACCATATGACCCAGGAATCCCACTCCTGGGCATATATCCAGAAGGAACCCTACTCCAAAATGACATCTGCCCCCCAATGTTCATAGCAGCACTATTTACAATAATCAAGACATGGAAACAGCCTAAATGTCCATCAACAGATGACCGGATGAAGAAGTGGTGGTCTATTTATACAATGGAATACTATTCAGCCATAAAAACCGACAACATAACGCCATTGCAGCAACATGGATGCTCCTGGAGAATGTCATTCGAAGTGAAGTAAGCCAGAAAGAGAAAGAAAAATACCATATGAGATCGCTCATATGTGGAATCTAAAATAAAAAACAAAACAAAGCAAAAACATAAATACAAAACAGAAACAGACTCATAGACATAGAATACAAACTTGTGGTTGCCAAGGGGGCAAAGGGTGGGAAGGGACAGACTAGGATTTCGAAATGTAGAATAGATAAAGAAGATTATACTGTATATCACAGGGAAATATATACAAGATCTTGTGGTAGCTCACAGAGAAAAAATGTAACAATGAATGTATATATGTTCATATATAACTGAAAAACTGTGCTCTACACTGGAATTTGACACAACATTGTAAAATGATTATAAATCAATAAAAAAAATGTTAAAAAAAACATTAAGCCAGCACACTGAAAAGGTTGAGCCCAGTTTTTGCCAATGGAGATAAGGGACCAGGATGCATGACAGAATATTAGGGACCAGACTGACTCTCCTGCTGTAATCAATTAGAAAAAAGGCAAAACATATCAAACAAACATTTTCAGACTTTGGCTAACAGGTACCAACAGGACACTGATCCCTGAGAGAAGCAAAACCAACAAGAAGGGCCCTATGTTTCCCCTTGACTGTTGTCTAAAGGCACATTCCAGAATCAAGGGTATCCCAAGTAGAACACTGGAGTGCTCTGAGTTGAGGAGACAGAGGTTAAACTGAGACAGCTGGAAGAACTACAGAAAGAAACTACAGAGAACTACAGAGGGAAAAGAGCTACACAAAAAGACCTCCAAAAATCAAAATGGGAATATTAAAATGCACATGAGGAGTAAAACTCCACAAGGTCAAAGTGTGGTCAAGAAGTTGCAGGCTAAACAGTCCTCAATGATCATATAGGTCTCGAAGGCATTAAATTTCAAACAAGACAATGTATAGTCTTCATGTATAACTCAGGGCATTTAGCAGAGACCAGAGAAAGGCCACACATTAGCAGTGGGGCAAAACGACCCATAAACTAAAGAGTATTTAGGACACACCTTATCAAAGTTTTGTTAAAAATACTGAAATACTTAAACTGAATTAAAGTGCCTTAAATGCCTAAAGAGAACAATATCAAGCCCTCTCTCATAGAAGACAACACAGAGACACTCAACAATATCTAATTTACAATGTCTATTTTTTAATAAAACATCATTACATGTGTCAAGAAAGAAAAATATGAACAATAACCAAGAGAAAAATCACTTAAAAATGGACAGAAAAGTGAAAGAGATGTTCAAATTGGCAGGCAAGCACCATAAAATAGCTAAAAAATGTATTCCAATACTGAAAAGAAAGTATGAATGTAGTGGGAAGAGAAATAAAAGATATATAAGAAAGAACCAAATGGAATTCCTTGAGATAAAAAATAAGTATTTAATATGAAAAATTCACTTAATTAGATTAACATCATTTTAAAAAGAAGACTAAAGGACTTGAAAACAAAGCAAGAGAAACTATGTAAAATGAAATACAGAGGGGAAAAATGAAAAAAAAAACCGTGGGACAATATCCAACAGTATAATATATATGTAAATATAGTTCAAAAGAGAAAGAGAATAGAAAAACTTATCTGAACAATGGTCAAATCTTTCCAAAAATTTGACGGAAACTACACACCCACAGATCTAACAAGTTAAAGGAACACCAAGCAGGATAAAGACTAAGAAAGCCATAACCATCAATTCCTGAAAGCCAGTGACAAATAGACAAAATCTTTTAAAGTTAATTAAAATAATCTTTAAAAAAAACACATTACATATATGGGGGCGGGGGTGGGAAATAAAAATAAGAAAGACCACAAACAACATGTTATAAAGAATCAACATTTTTAAACAGATATAAGAAAAAACTAATAACTTGGAATTCTATACCCAGGGATTATAACTTTCAAAAATGAAGAGAAAAGGTAGATGTCAACAAAATGATGGACAAGAAACCTGGAAGCTCTTTGTTTCTGCACAGAAATGTTAAAAAAATTTTTTTTTTAATCTGAAAGTCTCTGAACCAACTTTGTCAGAGTTCTGGAAAACACTCAAAGGTCTATAGCAACCAAGTGAATGCCCAGTCAAGAAAAAGTCACCTTGAAAATGGTAGAAAAGGTTTGTGATATTTTTACATGCCCTAACTCCATTATCTCCTGGTGAGGTGATGGTCTTATTCTTGAAGCAGCAGCAGCCTGGTTGACAGTTGCCTCCTTCAAACTGGAGGAAGAATAGAATTTATTTGCAAATTATTGTGTATATCTGTTCGAACCTGTCTGGGGTTAAATGAAGAAATGACATACTACTGTTGTCACTCTTTCACCTAACTTGAAATTCTGGTGGAAAAAAACAGAAGGCACAGCTATTAACAACAACAACAAAAAAAAAAACAGTTACAAGGCAACTATAAACCCATAGAGGGCAGGGGCAAGATATTTTAGGTAGAGACATACAATTGACCACGTAAGGCTCAGAAAAGAAGCTGGGATGAGAATCCTTGAGAATTTAGGACATTAAAAAAAACAGTAAAATATACAGGAGAATTTTAAAAGCCATGTATATGCCCAGCAAGACACATGATCAGAAAAAACCCGAGAAGAACTTAAGTTTTGACATCACAGTGATCCTCAGCTCCAGGGTTATAACACTGTAACAGTCAAATGCCCAATTTGTAATTAAAAAAAAAAACTCTCACCATACAATGAAATAGGAAATATGGCCCATTCAAAAAACAAAAACAAAAACAAAATAAAACAAGAGAAGCCACCCTTGAGAAGTCCCCAACAATGGAATTAATAGAAAAAGATTGTAAAGCAATTGTCTTAAATGTGCTAAAAAATCCAAAGGAAACTGTGGACAAAAAACTAACGGAAGAGAGGAGGGTATAGCTCAGTGGTAGAGTGGGTGCTTAGCATGCACAAGGCCCCAGGTTCAATCCCCAGTACTTCCATTATAAAATAAATAAATACATAAATAACCTAATTACTCCCCACTCCAAAAAAAAATGTTTATTTAAATGAGTCAACTAGCTCATGATTTTAGCCAAAGGCTGTGACAAAACACAAGATCATGTTGAAAGTAAGGAATAAAAAGCATAATAAAGACTTAAACTACAGGCAAAGAAATTTGTAACAACAACAACAAAAAAAAACTAAGGGGAAGAATCAGCCTAAATTTCCATCAACAGATGACTGAATAAAGAAGCTGCAGTACATTTATACAATGAAATACTACTCAGCAATTAAAAAAAAGAATAAAGTAATGCCATTTGTGGGAACAAGGATGGACCTGGAGATCATCATTCTAAGTGAAGTAAGCTGGTGGGGAGGGTATAGCTCAGTGGTAGAGTGCATGCCTACCATGCACGAGGTCCTAGGTTCAATCCCCAGGATCTTCATTTAAAAAAAAAGAAAAGAAAAACCAAGTAAATAAACCTAATCACCTACATGACCCCCCACAAAAACTAAGTGAAGTAAGCCAAAAAGAGAAAAATATCATATATCACTAATTTGTGGAATCTCAAAAAAAAAGAAAAAAGAGGACACTAATGAACTCATCTACAAAACAGAAAAAGACATGCAGACATAGTAAACAATTTTATGGTTACCAGGGGAAAGGGGGTGGGAAGGGATAAATTTGGGAGTTTGAGATTTGCAAAGGTTAACCACTATATATAAAAATAGATAAACGAAAAAATTTCTTCTGTATAGTACAGGGAACTATATTCAATATCTTGTAGTAACCTTTAATGAAGAAGAATATGAAAATGAATATAAGTGCATATATACATGACTGGGGCATTATGCTGTACACCAGAAATGGACACACTGTAACTAACTATACTTCAACTAAAAAAATCAAAAAGAACAGCAGTGCCTACCCAGAGAATAATGAGAAAAAAACCACCAACTATGGGAAATCAGGAAAATGATATACGCCCAAAATGAGACTATCAACAAAGAAGTAAAAATTATAAAAAGAAACCAAAAACACACACAAAATCTGAAACTGAAAAAGATAATAAAGTCAAGTAAAAATTCAAAAAGGACCCATGTATGAGCAACCAGAAGAACTACCAAACATAAAGATGTCAACTGAACTAATCAAGTCTCAGCAACAGAAAGAAAAAGGAATTAAGTCAGAAACCAAGATACTGGACAGCATCAAGCAGACCAATATATACATAATGAGAGCCCAAGAAGAAAACAGGGGCAGAAAGGTTATTTGGAAAACTAATGGCGAAAACTCCCCAAATTTGAGTAAATACTAGGATCTACAAATGAAAGAAGTTCAATATATCAAAGAGAGATAAACTAAAAGAAACCTGGACTGAGCACATTATAATAAAACCTTCAAAGTACAAAGACAGAGAGAGAGCAGCAAGAAAGAAGTAATTTGTCACTTACAGGGATAAACAATAACATTATCTGGTTTTTCACATCATAAACATGAAGGCCATAAAGCAGTGCAATAATATATTTTAAAGTGTTGAAAGAAAATAAATTCTCAACTGAGAATTTTATATCAAACAAAAGTTGTTTTATCACTATTCCTTGTGTCCTTGTCAGGACACAAAACAAAACTTAATAAATTTTTAAAAATAAGAATCATAAAATTGTCTTTTCTGAGCTCCACACAAAAACTACTAAAACTAAAAAAAGAAATCGTCAAGGCAGAAGGATACAAAATTAATGTACAAAAATCAGTTGCATTTCTTTACACTAATGATGAATCAACAAGAAAATAAAGTAAAGAAACAACCCCTTTCAAAACAGCACCCAAAGTAATAAAATACCTAGGAATAAATTAACCAAGTAGGTGAAAGACTTATACACAGAGAACTACAAAACACTGATTAAGGAAATTAAAGAAAACTTTAAAAAATGGAAATATATCCCATGCTCCTGGACTGGAAGATCAATATTGTTTAAATGGCCATACTGCCAAAGACAATCTACAGATTTGCTGCAACCCTAACAAATTACCCAGGACATATTTCACAGAACTAGAACAAATCATATTAAAATTTATAAGGAATCACAGAAGACCCAGAATTGCCAAAACATTACTGAAGAAAAAGAATAAGGCTGGAGGAATAGCCCTCCCAGACTTCAGACAATACTACAGAGCCACGGTAATCAAAACAGCATGGTACTGGAACAAAAACAGACATATGGATCAATGGAACAACAGAGAGCCCAGAAATGAACCCACAAAACTTTGGTCAATTAATCTTTGATGATAGAGGCAAGAACATACAATGGAATAAAGACATCTATCCAGCAAATGGTGTTGGGAAAACTGGACAGCAGCATGTCAGGCAATGAAGTTAGAATACTACCTCACACCATACACAAAAATAAACTCAAAATGGATCAAAGACTTAAACATAAGACAAGATACAATAAGCCTCCTAGAAGGAAACATAAGCAAAACATCTCATACATCTCAGCAATGTTCTCCTAGAGCAGTCTACCCAAGCAATAGAAATAAAAGCAAAAATAAACAAATGGAACCTAACTAAATTTACAAGCTTTTGCACAGCAAAGGAAACCATAAGCAAAAACAAAACAACAACCTACAGAATGGGAGAAAAATTTTGGAAATGATGAAACTGACAAGGGCTTGAATTCTAGAATATATAAAGAGCTTATATGACTTAATAAGAAGAAAACAAACAACCCAATCCAAAAATGGGTGGAAGACCTAGATAAGCAATTCTCCAATAAAGACACATGAATGACCAATAGGCACATGAAAAAATGCTCAATATCACTAATTCTCAGAGAAATTCAAATCAAAACTACAATGAGGTATCACCTCACACCAGTCAGAATGACAATCATTCAAAAGTCCACAAATGATATATGCTGGAGAGGGTGTGTAGAAAAGGGAATCCTCCTACACCATTGGTGGGAATGCAGCCATGTGGAAAACAATACGGAGATTCCTCAAAAGACTAAAAATATTCCTACCATATGATCCAGCAATCCCATTCCTGGGCATATATCCAGAAGGAACTCTAATTCAAAAAGACATTTGAACCCCAATGTTCACAGCAGCACTATTTATAATAGCTAAGACATGGAAACAACCTAAATGTCCATTGACTGATGACTGGTTAAAGAAGATGTGGTATATTTATACAATGGAATACTATTTGGCCATAAAAAATGACAAAATAATGCCATTTGTAGCAACATGGATGTCCCTGGACAATGTCATTCTAAGTGAAATAAGTCAGAAAGAGAAAGAAAAATACCATACGATATCACTCATATGTGGAATCTAAAAAAGAAAATGTCAAATGAATTTATATATAAAACAGAAACAGACTCACAG